TTTATTTGCAAGAGACTCAAAGATGAGAGCAAAACATGTGGTTACGTCTTCCAGTCGAGTAGAGTTTTGAGTTTGGGTTTTTAAGTGTAAAACTTAAAAGTCATAACTTTTTTTGTTTCAACTCATTAAGCAGATAATGAATAAGTTGATAAATAGCTTGATGACTTAACTGAAACGAACTAATGACCGAATAAATAAACTGATATTGAAGTACATGTTTGTAGTAGCATGAATAAATAATAGCAAGCATGCCGTAGATGAAAAATAACGTAACCTCACAACTAACTCTTAACTCGATATCCACTAAATCCACGTCAAACCACTTAAAATACTATGGTCAGTTTTGATGTTTAAAAGCTTAACTGCTGCTTAAATCAGCGCCTAACAGTCGAATTTTGTGTTCTGTTACTCATCTCTATCGACTCAAACTCGAAACTCACGCTTCAGATCTTGGACGTGTCACTTGGACGTGTCACTAATGGGAAACGTGTTTTGATCATTTAGGGGTCGCTTACCCAAAATACATCGGCACTGCACATACATCGACACACCTAAGCCTTCCAGGTGCGGGCAGGCCAAGTACTAGTCACGAGAAAGACGATGTATTGCATTAAGAAAAGACAGGACATCGAAACAAAAATAAATTAGTTATCCAATTCATGGCTCTAAAAAATCCGGTTTATATTTTGATATTAGAAAAGCACTCCAACAGACTGAGTTATCACATCAAAGGGGAGATGTTCATTATTCTTGCTCCTCAGTGATTTCCAAGCGATGTTCTTTCTTTTTGTTATGTCTTTAATCCGTCTTTCAAGTACATGGTTTCCATATACACCCTTTGAACAGTCATTTGAAACAAATTTATCCCGATCACCGCACGTATATTTGGGCTGCCTGTGCCTGCGTTCCAGGCGTTTCGTTACCAGACAGGTCCGTCATGGATAAGTCTAGATTTGTCCTCTAAGCACGTACGGAATGGATACTCACGTTACAATATAGGATATGGATAATTCTCGTGAACAAAATATGTATTTCTCACCCTTTTCGACGGCAAATTGGCTGATACTTTTTCCCCTTGTCTCTCTTTTTAAGGTTCCGCAGTTTCCAAATCCTTAAAGTTCCCTTCAGTCGAAAATGGAAGCATTTCGTCATCGGAGAAGACGTCTATTTTGCGGTGGCTAGCAATTCTCGTTCACACGACTCTCCGATCTTCAAATGGAATGGAGATATGTTTGTTCCGTTCCAGAATTTACCCACAACAAAAGCCTTTGACGTGGAACCATTTAAGATCGGCCAAGACACCTTCTTAGCCGTGGCCAATTATTATGGGCGTAGCTCACAAATTTTCAAATGGGACGGTGAGAGGTTCGTCAAGTTCCAGGATATCGCTGCTGTAGGAGCGGATGTAGAGCATTTTGAAATGGATGGTACCACGTATTTGGCTGTCACAGGTATATCACAGGAGGATTTTTTTTAACACATCTGGACGTCATTGCAGGGTGGCGTGGGGGGAGGGGGGGAGGGAGGGGTTGGGGAGAAATTTGATATACTCAACTTATTTTTCTGATGTATTTACAACCATAGGTATTGTAAAAATTACTCAGCATGTCAACTTGACGAAGTCCGCACCGTGTTTTTAGGAAAATTGTTATGTTGACGTAATCTTTCTCTGGTTTGATAAAAAATATACCGTACATACGGTAAAAGATATTTTTTCATACACCAAATAATAGTCGCTTGAAAAACTCGTTTTTAGGCATTTTGTTGCAGGGCTGATTTTCTTTTTCATTTCGGCGATGAAAGAAACTGGAAACTGGGAGGGAAATCCTCTCTTTTTTCTTAAACTAACCTAAAAAGCACAGATAAAGAGGATATAAGAAACTTGACTTTGCATTAAACATTTGTCGTTATTCTCTTTCCCAGGGCCCTTCGCACGCGGCGCCTACGCGTTGATCTACAAATGGTCTGGCTCCACCTTCGAAGAATTTTACCGGCTTCCCACAGGAGAGCGTGCATATGGAGTCAAGGCACTGTCTGTTGATGGTAACCATTTCTTAGCTGTGGCCCGTTGGCAAGCACAGACCTCCCTTATTTTCCGATGGAATCAAACACATTTTGACCTCTTCCAAGAAGTTCCATCAAGAAGGGTAAGATATAATGTGACACACATCGAATTTCGCCAAGTGATTTTGATGCACTATTGATTAATCAGCCATATAAAGTGAAATATTACTTTCAGAATACCGCCTTTCAGTTGAGACGATCATTTGAGCACCCAATGAAAAAAATGCCTCCCTTCCTTGTACCTGTCACTTACATCAAGAGACACCTGAGCCCTAGGGAAGAATTGTCGTAGAAACGAAGGTGCCCGCCAAGATAGTTATAGACTTGAAAGAAAGCAGAAAATTCTATCGAAAATTAATGAAGAGGAAGTTGGGAGAGAAATGATCAAATAGCTCCTGAGCGCTACAAGAAATCAATGAATTTGTTTCATCAAATGTCAAAAATTTGAAAGGAAATTTTTTTTATCGGCGGAACCCTTAAATTAACTTATTAGTCACAATATATTGAGTTGGGGAACTTATCTCTTCAGCCCTTTTCTATTGTAAATAACCAGTGCGTCCAGAAACCCATGCATAGAAATACACGCCTAATACATTCCTTTTGATCATGTGGTTTTTTTCTTCACAGGCACGTGACTGGATCTCGATCACGTCCCCATTCATGTCACGTGAGAAGACTTACCTAGCAATTGTTAGCAGCGACCAAGATCCGAGTATCTATGCATGGGACAGGTACTACACGAAAAAATTTGTCAAGGTACAAGACATTCCATCGGAGAGAACGCGGGATATGGTGTTTTTCAACATGGGTGAGAGTGTGTACTTATCCGTGGCTTCTCACAGAAGCACTGACATCTACCAAGGATCATAGAACTGCCTATCAGTTCTTTCACTGAGAATAAGACTGCCAAGTCATCCCAAATGTCTCCACCTTTAAAACCGCGCGGTGTTCTCGCGCGGAAGGGATCGCTTGAATGACGCATAGTGAAACATTCGGCTTGAGTTCAAATTCGTAATTTTCAACTGCTAGCGTTTTTCGTGACTTTTTACATGATTTTTCACCTCATTAATGGAAACTGATAGTCAACAATGAGAACTTCATCAAAATCGAAAGCGTTGATGTTCTTTTTAAGGATCGAACAAGTTGAAGTAAGATTTCGTAATATTTATAGCAACACATATTAGACAAATTTGTATATAATCGAACTTTATCGAGGACAGTTACCATTTTTTGTACCCATTGCGTACCTATGGTTTTTTGTCATGCAACTTATGACGAGTTTGACGGCGTTTCCAATCATTTTAGTACAATGTTAACGCCAGAATAAAATCGAAACAGAGTTAAATAAATCAAGTAGTCGACAGAGGGATTTATGCCGACATGGGTCACTATAGTTTAATAGAATAGTAATATATTATCAATAGATCTGCGTTTGCAGGCAGGGGAATGGTAGGAGAGGCAGACAACAAGCGAAACAAGGGGTAACTTACTAAGTTATTCAGATTTTGTCCTTGCACAATAGAACATTTGGTTCGTCTCACAGTTTGAAGAAAAGTTTAAGGCAAAACCGGAGCGAATAGATTTATTCGGTATAGCGGTGGTGGTAGTAGAGGGAGATAGGCACCTACAAAAGTTTAGGTAGGGCGTAGCAATGTGCCGTAGAGGTCCTGAGCCCTCTAACCCCCCACCCGATCTTAAAGACTCGGACCCATGGGTTTAAAGAGAGCTATCTGCAAGCACGCTCTCTCCTCCTGTAAATAGGTAATCATTGTTTTAAATTTCTAAATTAAAATGTTTAGAAACTACAATAAAGACATTGAAAACCATTCGTTTCTTGATTTGTGTCTCCTCTAATATTCTAATACTCCAAGGCTTGGCACTGTTTAGTTCTGCCGTTTTTATGCCCAAACTGAGTGTTCTTTTAATGGTATTTATTGGGCCGGAAAGTAGTCGCTCAAAAATATCATGAGCTCAAAAAATATCACGAGCTAGAACTCAGGGAAGAAATTGTAAATACTTTCCAGTCAATGTATCTGGTAACGAAATATGGTGCTTCTGTCCATGAAAGACCATGCAACCCTTTAGGTGCGTCTCTCAATGATGTTCATTGTATATCTTTCTGTGCTATTTTTAATCGAGGGTTACAAGATATTTAATTTATTACCAAACCTTAGAATTAGTTGCATCATCCTGCTTTTTAGGATATTCCTCAGTGAAAGTCACCCTCATACAACGTTTGAGCGTAGCGTGACATACAAAGCAGGGCTGTTAGGAGACAACTTATACCAACTGTTGCCGGCAAAAGAACTCGGGACGCTAAATTGTTCCAGGGAAGAATTCCTGTTATTTTAAAAATCCCCAGTCCATGTAGAAGCACCGCCGTCCCTCGAACAACCTTAAATTGAAGTGGCAGAGTCAGAAACAGAACCCAATATTGTATTGGTATTGGAAAGGGGGAGGCGAACTCCTTTACAGACAGGTTGAAAAAAAGGCGCCCGAAGATTTAATTTCTTACTAGATGTAGGACCTAAACATTAACTCGATTTATCCATTCCCTCTGGCTTCTTTGTAGTTTGAATACAAAAGGGGAATCCACATCACTTTTCACATCATGTCATCCTACTAGTTAGATGGATGTTTCCCATTTCCTCAACTTTCTCTTCTCTTCTTGTTAGGTTTACTAAAACACCTACTATCTTTTATCTCTCGCTTCTACAGAAATAGTTATCGTTGAATTAAAACGGTATGCTTTTAAAATTCTGAAAGCAAATATATATAAGAAACGTCAAGTGTCAAAACCTCATCAAAATTCTAACAACTTCTTTATGCAAATAACCACCGACCTCGCCCTCAAGAATCTATTTTGCGAGGCTAAATTTGCACGTGTAAATCTTTTGCCTCATTTACATTTTAAGGTTCCTCGTGGTTTGAAACGTTTCACCTCTCAAGCAAAGATAGCTCGACAAAGTCTTCGACCTAACCGAGTGTAGTGACTAGGATTGATCCGAAGCATCGAGCGGTTGCTTTCACTTAAACACCTGGACAGGACTGGCAGTTAGCATGGCGTTCTTACAACGGAACAAACGGTAAGAGCCAGAGTAATTTCACTTGTAAGTCGTGTTTAAACGAACGTGTTTGCAAAGTTTGTATTAAGAATTCTACCCAAAAAGACAGCGGAATTGAATTTATCGAGCTATTTGTCAACAAGTAGTACTGTAATAAGATCTCCGTAAGTAGATTTAATGTATAATTTTATGATTAGAGGAAAAGTTATTAATAAATTGTACCAGTCCGCTGAAGCCAAGTGGACAGGCTTGGTGACAACGTTAATTATATGCTTGATGATAGATTTAAACCTAGTCAAAAACTTATCGGAGAATTAAGTCCAATTTTTTCGACTAGGCCTAAAAACAGATTGAAAATAGATATGTTTGTGTCACGATAAAAATTACCTGATTTCCAACCCCCCCCCCCCCCCATCGCTCTTTAACATTCTTAAGATTCCCCGCACGGGCAGTTAATTGGCGGTCAATTTTCTCCGATCATACTCTGTTGGCGACCACTCATTCCCCAAAATCATCTACCCCAGGCGATGAATAATGACTGGCCCCAAAAGCGCGGGAAAACGCGGGTGGTTTCAGTTTTGCATCTGATTGATTGAGAGTGGCGCGAGTTTCTGGACCAATCACAGAGCAAAGGAAAGCAAAACAAATGCAATCTCGGATCACCTTCGATACTCATTTGATAATTGCGCTAACAGCTAGGTTTTACTGATTAAAAAAATTAAAATACAATGGCTACTAGGCTTAAAATGTTTTCTTTTCTATAATGGACACTGCTTTGAACTCTCCCCAACAAGTTCTCGAAAAATCTGAACTTGTTAGAAACAAAATGTAATCGTACTAAAATAATTGATGAAATAGCATCTTGATAACTAAGAGGTATATTCATGAACTTACGTTGCACTCTGTAAAAAGTATAAAAGTTCTTAAATTTTTGATCGATTTTGAGGGACAAACAGGAATGTCCGGGAAACTATAATTCAAAAATTTTGAATTAGAAACGAGAAAGGAGAACGGACTGCACGGTTTTATGTTCCAGAGTTTTTAAAATTGTAGGAAGCACTGTTTTTTAGTTCTTTAGTGCGCTTTTACAACAAATGCAAATTTATTTTATTTTATTTACAATTGACGCAACGGTGCAATACCAAGTTCTCTTTAACCGAGTAACAATTTAATATACAGTTATTATAAAGGGGCATTACTAATCAGATCTTAGAGGCTAAACTTGGGAGTTCTTTTCGATAGTATGTCGAAAAACTAAAAGCGTGGTAACACGACAGCTAATCAGAGCAAAGGAAATATTATTCAGAGCCATAGAATGTTCAAGCTGAAAAAAAAAGCAAACTGCTCGAGGAAAACGTTGGTGATCAAAACGTAGTTGGTTCGAGGTTCACATCTGATTGGTTGAGAGGACGGCACGTGTTTCGTGGATCAGTTACAGAGCGAAGAAAAGCATAATCAACGCAATTCTGAATTACTTTCGACACTTATTTTAAAAGTGTTCGAATATTTTTAGTAGCACAATAAATTCCATCATCTGACACCTGTGTTTTCTCGGTACAGTCAAATGACAAGCTTGGACATGATGCAAGATAATCAAGGAAGGAATAAAAAAAACTCAACTTTGCTGAGAAGAGAAAGTGGATTTCAAGGACAACTTTTCTTCAAACAGTAAGTTGCTTATTTTACGAATAGTACAGCTTCCTCAGTGCATTTTAAAGTCGGATTAGCTGAGCAAAACTGTAAGGGAATTTTTTTTTACCTTATTTGCTCATTTGCACAAGTTCAGTTTCCTACCAAACTAGAAAAATGTTGGTACTGAAAGATCTAAATATAGGGCATATTTACCCTTATGAAATTTTCAGCCGGATACTTCTAAAATTCTCTCAGCCACATCAAAATTATCAAAAAAAAAATTTACAAGGAATGTATAGACTCATTAGTGAATAATTCAGTCAAGTCCACTCGCAAGAAGCTCAAATCTTACAAAAATTTAAAACTCTGAGACCCTCTGTCAATCTTAAAGTAATTCTCCATTAAATCGACTTAAACGTGAACAATTAGGGCAGCAAAGATTCTCCAATTACAGTTTGTAGTCTGCTAGTATACTGAATGACCAGAATGAATTTCTTGTAATATGGTTGGAGCTGCAATTGGAAAACGATATGCCCTGCAATGAGTAAGTCAGTAGAGTTTACAAAAAGACAGCAGCAACGACAGGAGAACAGAAGAAATTCAAAATTCCAGGTTTTAACAAATGAAAAAGCTTAAGTCTAACAAGTCCTTGTAGTAATTAGAAATTATATCTCTTTCCCTCCACGAAGTCTTAAATGTTCCAATTGTTCTAAAGGACACTCCATCGAACTTTGCTTATAAAATGCTCAAAAAGTCTCCGCTTGTAAGAAATAAAAAGATGACATTGTTCCAAAGAAATCATGCTGAAATGTTTGATGAAATATTATTATGGTTATTAAAAGGAATGTTTATGTACACGCATCGCTCCCCGTAAAATAAATATTATTTAGTATGAAATTGGTTTCCAGAGAAAAATTTAGAAGACACTAATTCACAATTTTATAAACGAGAAATGAGGAAATATCAAACTGTTTCATTTTCCAGCGTATTTAAAATTTTATGAACCACACATTTTATCATCAGTTCTGGTACAATTTTGTTCTCAAATCTATTATTCAGTTTGTAATCACATCTATATATTTGATTCATACCGTCGATGCTTAGAGAAAAGAGCAATTCTATTTCACCTGTTTATTATTTCAGCTCGTTGACAAGCAAGGAAGAAAGACATACGCTGAAGCAAGCGACAAGAATACAAAGTTAACTTCATTCTTCTTCAGGGAAGATAACTCGAAAATAATTGTAGTGAAAATTTTCACCATTAGTTTTCAAAACTTATCCGCAAACAGTTTCGTTACTGAAGGTAATTCAACAGTGGTCGAAGAAAACAAATTGACGATGTACATATGAGCTGTCTTCCTAGGACTTTTAATTTTTGGAATATAACTGTATGATATAAACGTAGACATTTTGTAAAGTTACCCTTTTTTGAAACGAGAAACTGTTAAACTGAGAATCGCTGTAAGTTTTTCCTCAGTCTTCTCTGAAGCATTTGTTAAGTTTCCCGCCAAAACAACTGCGGGCGCTTGAAAAACTTGAACGCGCTGTAAGTATCATCTGTTCAAATTGCCACAATTTTCCCGCCAAAAAACTTAGAAAAATACGGGCGCCTAAAATACGCATGCGCTGGTTTTTTTTTTTTTTTTTAAGTAATTTAATATTTCTACATTGTTGTTAAGTAAAAGTCAAGAAGCTCATCTGGTGTTCACTTATTTACCTTCTTAAACTATTGTCGTCAATAAATGATATTACAGGTGTTTGTCACTCAGTCTTTTATTCTCTTCAAGTAATCTTATTTGATAATTACAAATGTGTGTAGAAAAAGTCGTTCGTTTATATACTAAGACTTTTGGCGGGAAAATTTGAAAACATTTGCATAGCGTTTCCCCTGACAACATTTTTGACAAAAAAATTCAAAATGGCTTCCCATAAGAGTTTCCGCCAAAAGCTACATGTATATCACCCTGTGCAAAACGTTCTTCTCCAAAAACTGATTGACTGACTTTCGTCCTAATTTCTTGTTATCATTTTTGCCTTTTTGTTCGCGTTCTAATCAATGGTTTTCCAGAAATAATTCTCTCTCCGAAAAACTTTGCTCATCTAACTATTTTGCACAAGATGGTATATTACATTACTATTATAAGGACAAGCAACATAACAAGCTACAATATGTTTATATATATTGCAAATTGTGGCGTTAATCATTTACTTCAAATTTCAATTTTTTCCTTCTGACATACAAATACTCGAAGCTTGTCATGTTGCTTATAGCAAGACCCTTTTCAGCCTTCTCAGTTTTTGGACGATCTTTTAGCCTCTAACTTCCTAAATATTTGCGATAACATGGGCCAAAGTAGCTGTGTTTTTATTTTTTAAGGCAAGAGTTTAGACAATCGGTTATCTTTCTTGGTTCCGTGCATCTTTCCGACTGTGACAAAATTTTTACGGAGTCAAGTTTTTTTCACCGTTGAGTTTAAATGTTCAGATTTCGTACTTCAAACTTTCTTCTTTCCCTGTGTTCCTTTAATTGTGGGCTGAAAAAGGCCTTTCAACTAAATAAATAGTATAATAAAACCCGGTGGCTGCCTTAGGTATTATTCTAAGGAGAACATAGTTTGCCTACTAAACTATATTGGAAAACAAGGATTATGCAACAAGTTATACAGACCACCTTTAATTAAGGCGAAATCATTGAACTATTTACTTTCCTTTTTTTTTAAATTTATCACACGAGAAAAAAAAATACCATTGCATAAGAAACACTTTCTCGCCTAATGGTCACCAATAAATTTCTTAAGCAATTTCTCGTTTAATTTTCGCCAGCAAAAGGAACATTCACGTACGATATAAAGAACATCAATTTGCTCTCCAAACAAAGGCAATTAAATCCTTATAGCGTTCAGATCACAATTTCGTGTGGAATTAATAAACCAAATTTACTGAAACTTTTCTTAAACAAACTGGATTGATCATTTTGCTCATTAAATCTCCTTACTTGAGTTTGACGTGAATTCTCGCATCATGAATGTTAATTAAGGTTTCTTACTTTAGTTTCAGAACAGGTCTCTTCAACTGTACGGAAAACCTTTTGATTTGGTGATCTAGAGGTTCAAGGAAAATTTTTCATTTTTTTCACTTTTCAATTATTTCAGTTAAATATGGAACCGTACAGTTTTCTTTAGCTAAACGAAAAACAGTTTGATTTTCTGACCTAGTTCTTCGAAGCAAACTTTTCAGTTCTCATTTCCTGTTTTTTTTTTCCGTCAGAAATCGACAGTTGTCTGATTACTAAAGTTGACATACAGAATCTGTTTTGTGGTCTGTATAGCTTTCAACTGAAATTTTTTAGAATTAACTGGTCCAGACGATAAGGTTTCGTGTATTTCAACTTACAAAACGATAAGAGAACATGGGCAGATGAATTTACTGGCTAAAAATTTTTCCAAGAAGATTAAAGTTGTTTTTCAATAGCTATTCTTCAGTCAGTCACTGGTTATGACGTAGGAGTAACAGTGTAATGTGATCGTCGGTCCTGGTAAAGATTGATGTCATTGTCTGTGAAATAGAACCCAGGCCTCAGCATTTTTTATAGCGAAAGAAGTTTCTCCTCTTTCCTTCAAGGAACAGTTGATTATTTATTACCTGAGGGGATCACATGGTTTTCGGGGGGGGGGGGGTAGAAAGTTAACTGCCAATGAGGGTGGATCATAGAGCCTTGTGGGATAATGGGGTACAGTTCATCGTGACACGACCAAAATCGCCCGACCCCTCCTCCCCTTCCCGAAGATGTAACGACCACGCAATACGTTCTTGCCGTTGTTTCGTGTCTTAACTGCAAAGTCCATTTGGCATTGTTTCAAATCAATAATGATGATTTAACGGTCACCATAAGGATCACGCTGTCATTTGAGTATTTCAAATCAGGCCTAATCACCATTGATTTAAACAAGTCACATTTCAGAATTTCCTTGTCGCTTAATGAAAAGTCCAATTGTCTGTCGGTGTACCTTGGTTTTTCTGGAAAACGAATTCTTCTACATTTCTCAATTTACGCGTGACAAACTACTGTGAGGGTTCTAATCGTTATTATGAACATGGATAGCGCCGGTATTTGTAAATCATCAGCCTTAAACGTAGTGTCACCAAAGTGTTTTTTGTCGAGTCACAAGTACGTACTGGTAGCTATTATTTCAACTTTTACGAGTCGTTTAGTCGAACAGGTCTGTTTTTGGTTGCCTGTGTTCTCTTATCTCTTACAAAAATACAATTAAAAAAAGCGAATCTTTTGAGGTGGCATTAAATATTTCGCTGACAAATTATGGAAGAATATCCACTTTGGAATTTTATTTTTGACTGAGACATTTGTGAAAAAACACAACGATAAAATGTTTGCTCGTGGCTTTTCGAAAATTTGTGATAAGAGTGGAAAAATCCAGAACATTTCTGCATTATTTTGTTCGTCACCATCTATTTGTCGTTTTACATACATTGCCACCTTAAAAAAATTCCACCTCCCTCAGTGGCTGTCATTTTCTGTATTCAAGAAAATTAATTTTTTGCACAATTTATATTAGTTAAGGTACCCTAAAAAAATTCAAAACTCAGGCAGCCACCGTTTGACTTGTTTGTAGTGATATTAAAATTCTTATCTTAGCCCTTTGTATACCAAGGGGGGTGGTATTTATTTGTCACAAAAATGAGTACATTATACAAGAATGCTTGTCAAGCCTGCTCTTTACAACAAAACCCTATAAAACTATATATATTTGGGAAGTGCATTAAAAATATACTTTCACAACAATTATAGAAATTGACACATGTCAAAATTGTGACGTCACAATAAGCATAATTTGCATAATTATGCAAATTTCTAAAGGAACTTTGAAATCACCAGCTCTAAACAAACAATTCCAACTTTTGGTTTCTTACTGGAAATTCTAATCACCTTTTAACACAATTTCAAAAGGTAAGAAATATTAATTAGGGCAATAACCCTCCTTTTAGAGAATTAGTCTGACTAACTAACAACTGCCATACCTCTTGTGTGAAAAACAGCTCCAAAAAATCCAAACACGATTTCAGGTTTCTTGTAGTGACATTTATTTCAGGTTCTTCACTAAACTCAATATCTACTCTGCGTCCAATTTCTCTAGACCAATCTTCTTCATCCAATTCCACTTCGTTGTCAGTGTGATCTTCCTCTTCCAACTCTTCGCTAGAATCGTCAGAGCTTGATTCCGATGCACCAGAGTAAAATTCCTCATCAGAGGCTCGATGCTCGATGAAATTCGCTAAAGGCAAGTCTTCTTCGTCGATAAATTGAATTTCAATATTGTTTTGATCGTCGAAATGTAGTTCAGCATCACCTTCAAGAGCCGCCATTTTTAAATCTCCCCGTTCAAAACGTCTAAATCACAAAAAGCCTCAAAATTCGCCCAAAAACAAGCTCGATGGAAGAAATCCTCGAAAAAACTAATTAACGACTTTATGTAATTTACATTGAAATGTAGTATTAGTTTCCAGGCCCTCAAAGTGCTCTTTTCAGGCCGCCCGAATGGGGTCTGTATTTAAGTGGCCATATATGGCCACTTGGTACGCAAAGGGTTAGTGGAGTTTCCCTTTCGCTTTAATGATTCTAGTTTGCCTTCTGTTTCTTTGCTCCTCTGTCTTCTTTATTGACCAAATCTCAATCTTCCTGCAACTAGAATGAGAAGGAAATAATGTTTAGAGACTTCGCCATTTTTACTCGTGGACATGCAAAGCATGGAAACGAGTAATGCGGGGATTCCATATGCAAGTATCGTGGCGTCAGCAGGCCCTAAGAGTCAGGGGAAAGCATGAATCCCGTCAAATATGGTGATTCAGTTAGGGAAGACTTTTATGGAGATGACGGCTAAATTCCGTTTCTTGGATCACAAGATAATTTTCTTTTAGTACAATATTCTTAGCGTATTCTGCACAGTATACCCACGAGTTCACCACAGTGTCACATAAATTTAACTTTTATACCAAACAAATAACTGTCAACCAGCAATTTGAGACACAAAAGTGATAGTTTTTTCATTTTTTCACAAATAAATTGCAAAAATAAACCGAAAAAGAGTTTCCTGTTCGTTTAAAAGAGCTTCCTCCACAAGCATGGGTAGCACTTGGCTATGTTGTGTTAAATTCAAAACCGAACGTAATATAGTGAGTAATTTCTCCCAGAAAAATTCGCATTAGTCAAATCTCTCTCTCTCTCTCTCTCTCTCTCTCTCTCTCTCTCTCTCTCTCTCTCTCTCTCTCTATATATATATATATATATATATATATATATATATAGGAACTCTCAAACGAAATTTCTTTGACTTGAATGTGTAGCTCTAAGTTGATGACAAAGCGAAGAGCGAAACCTTGCCCACGTGCTCAGCGAGGTTGGTTTCGACTATTGCCGTTAGGGGGGGATTAAACTCTCCAAATTGAACCAACAATTTCCTTGACTTAACCAGAACTTACCTTTGCTTGAAAATAAAAACTACCAACATTCCAAGCTTCGAGTTCTTGAGTTTCTTCATCTGTCCACAGGCTGTATTGTTTGATGCAAATTCTACAGTTC